GGGGAGGAGGAAGGGAAGGGGAGGGGGAAAAAGGAAAATGAGCTGATTCCGGGAACCCAAGAGGAAAGCGAATTTAGGGAATAATGAGGGCAACAAATGTATAGATGTGCTTTACACAATTGATCTATGTATTGTGATGAGACCATGAGACCCTCTGGTGGTATATGATGGATATCTATTTCATAAGGTTATATAGCTTCAAATCCAAAGGTTTTTTAAAATTGATCAATTTGCATAGGATGAGCCTACATTTATTGAGTAGTGAGTTAATTAAAGAAAAATATTAAAATATTAGTTGAGGTGATATGCAGATGTTGAAAAGGGATAAGGTGGCATGCAGGGAAGGAAATATAAAAAACATCCCATTGTGGATGCAAGGACATATGTCAAAACTCTGTCCCCATCTTAGTGTCGAGGTCCACACTGTCAGCGTCATAGCTGAACATTTATAGTGCTGAGGTCAGATAGAATGTGACAAACAGAAGTGTTCCTGGGACATCTAATCCAGAGAAGAACTACACAGAAATATGTTTCTGAAAATAAAAATAGAGATAGATAAATTGCCACAGTTTTGGGGGGAAGTAATCATTTTAGTTATTTTCAGCTAAAGAAAAACTGTCTTTACCAAAGTGAGCTAAAGGTCAGAAGGATGCTTGGCATGGGCTCCACACAAGCTCTTGCACCAAGTCCCAGATGTGATCACATGCTCTTTCTCAGGGATCAGGTCTCCCCAAAACATGCCTTCCATGCCTCTTGGGCTTCATCCTTCAGAATTCTCAGTTCTTGATCAAATACTACCTCTTGAAACAGTGAAATGTTGGCTAATTATTTTGGATACAGTAATTTTGTTTATTCTTTCCAATTCTTTTTGATATTTCTTGCATGGTTTAATCTTTTTCCCATAGAATCTTTCAATATTGCAACTTGAGGCCTGACTTTTTCTTCATTTCTTTCAGTTGTGTAATAGACCAAGGTTGTTCTTCTTGTTTGGTTTTCTAATTATAGTTCTTTGCACATTTCATTACCACACTTGGTCTTCTCAAACTGCCCTTGAAAATTTTCTGTTCACCTCTTTTACTCCATCATTTATTCCATTTTTGTTAGTTATTCCAGGATGAAGCTCAAATTTCAGAGTCTCTTCTGACATCCTCTTTAGTCTTTTCTTACTTTCCTGTCTCTCTAATGACCCTTTGCTATGCTGTCATCCACAGCTCATCAGAGTAAGGACTTGGGTGGGCTGGCTCCATAAACCACGTTTTTAAACACAATGCAGACCCATGTAAGAGGCTAACTTTCAAAAATCAAACTCACTGCCATTGAGTCAATTCTGACTCAGAGAAAGTCCAGGGGACAGGCTAGAACTACCCTTGTGAGTCTCTGAGACAGTCGCTTTTAACAGGAGTAGACATCCTCATCCTTCTCCGGAGGAAGAGCTTGTGGTTTCTGGCCTTATGGTTAGCATCCCAATGTGTTAGGGCTCCATCCAAGAGGTTATGAGCCCTTAAAATCATGTGTCCCTGCGGTGGTTCAGAGAAATGTCTGGATCATTCATCAGGCATTAAGATTGAATGTCAAAAACAAATGGTACAATAAAACATTCGAAAGGCCCCAGGAAAGTGGATAGTTACACAGCTAAGTGAGCCACATAAAAAGGAAGGACCCGAACAAGAAGGCTAAAGGTAGTGGTGTGGAAGACAGATGACAGACACCAAGGCCAGAATAAGAAGAGTTCTTTCCATTCTGCTGGTTTATTTTTTAAAGGAATTAGCTCCTTGTGAGACAGCTGGAATAATGAGCCACTTGGATTTCAGAAGAATGTAAGGGAGGTATAAACAATGATATTTTTAAAAAGGCTTAGACTCTTCATGGAAGGTTTTCGAGCCTGGCCAGTTTCAGAAACAACTGCAGTCGCTGCCCATCTTGGCAGGAGTGCCTCGGGGCTGAAGCTGCTCATAGTCCCCTTTTGCTTGGAGGTCAGAGGCTTCTCGATGGCTGGATGTTCCAGCACTACAACGGGCCTGTTTAGAAGTCTCACTGGGATGGTCACATCAAAGTTAAATTCTTTATATTAAAAGATTAAGTGGAGAAGAGAAGTGAGAAAAGGGGGGGGGAATGAAGAAGAGAATTGTCCTTTAGTGATATTGGAGGACAAAATTCATCATTATAATTTGAGTCTGACGAATGTTTCACTTCTCCTCTTGCCATAAGTGATTATCTCTAGCAAAACCCTCACTGAAAGAGTTCACGTGTTATACATGGTTTGGTTTGTCTACTACCTTGTGCCCCCATCTCTTCTTTCATCGACAAATATTCATTAAGTACCTGTGAGTTGACCTTGTGAGAAAATTCAAGATCCAAGTTATAAAACTGAAGATTTATTCAGCAAAACATTGACTGGCACAGGAAGTATAAATAGTTGAGAGAGGGAAAATACTATACCTCTCCCCACTTGGTAAAAAAACTGACACTAAACCAGTTCAGCAGGTAGTATTCGATTAAGAACGGATACTATTGCAGGAAGAGGTCCACGATGCACTGAGAGCGTTGATGTAGGGACACTAACCAATGCTTCCAAGTGGCTGTACGTCCGCTAAGTAGGCACGTCCACTGTTTTTCCTGGCTCAACCAGAGTACCCCTTCCCCACAGATAGCCAGGCCAGACCCAAACCAGGTTCCTTCTCCCTCCCCTTATCAAAATGACACACAATAGTAGCAACCTAACAATCAGTTGCAGGTAGCTAATGTCATGATGCTAATAATTTTGTAGTCAACATCAGGCAAAGTTGTTAACTTAACTGGTACAAAAGGATCACCATGACACCCCTGTAGTAGATCCTTTCCTGTACAGCTGTCCCCCGCTGGCTGAAGTCCTGCTCTCTTGATCTAGAAGCCACCAAATACAAATAAACTATGTCTCTCAGATTGGTTCCAGATCAGTTCATTGTTGTCTTGTCTCGACATACAGAGTGTCGCTCCCTCATTTGGACTTAAGCCTGAAGGGTTGGCAATAAACAAGGGTCTAGTGAATACCAACTGAAATGTTTAAAAAAAACTGATGCCGTCCTGGAATCATTAACTAATCCATGCCAAGAAATTCAGAAGACAGCTTTCTGATCAAATCACTGGAAGAGATCAATTCCGAAGAAAGGGGATTCAACATAATTGAGGAATTCTTGAACAAGATCATTGATGAGAGGAAGGCTGTCCGGGGAATGGGTGGACACCACAGCTGCGATCATAGGCTGGAATACAACAATTGCGAGGTTTGTACAGGACAGGACATGGTTCATTCTGCTGTGCACAGAGTCAGTACAAGTTGGCAGCAACTCGGCAACAACAACAGTAGCTACATTAATAATACACACATGTAACATTTCATTGAAGATTATTAAAACATGGCTGTAGAATTTACAGGGAACTGCCAGAAACTCAAGCTAGATTCATAAGCGGTCTTGGAATAAAGTATCCGATTGCTTCTCTCAGGTGAACGTTGGATGAGAGTCTTGAATATCAGAAATATATTTGCCTGCCTTGTACTAGTTCACAAAGCCATTTTCCTGTGTGGGTCATAATAAATTCTGGATATTGTTGTGAAAAATGGGATTTCCAAAACACTTAAATATGCTCATACGGAACATGAGCATACAGAGAGGAGGCTGGAATATGGCATGATTTAAAGTCAGTAATGATGTGATCAAAGTTGTATTCATTATCATATTTATTTACTCTGTTTGCAGTAAGAAATCTAAGAAGTTACATCAAGGACACATAATCAGGATTATAGGAAGACTCATTAACCACCTGTGATAAGCAGATGACACAACCTTTCTTAATGAAAGCAAAAAGGAAGTAGTTTTGTGTAAATATTGCTAAAAATATTTTTGAATAATATTCAAGAAAATGTTACATGTATATA